TTGTTTTTTTTTTTTTAACTTTTCATTTTAAAAAAGGTCATCTGTGAGTTCACCAAGAGCTCTGGAGGAGCTCTTTATATGTTCATCACAATGGGCAACTAATTGGTGATAAAAAGTTCTGTGCTGTGTGAAGTAAGTCTTGTTCCTTCTGTCTGTCCTACACCTGCCCTCAGAGATCGGCTGGGCTCAGGTGGAGCAGCAGGGTGGCTCAGCCCACTGTCTCCCCACGTTTAGATTGACAGCCCTCTCAGGGGAAGGGCTCAGAGCCCTGCTGTCCTCCTATGAGCCCCCTCCTGCTCTGTCTTCCTCGTGACGCAGGACTCGAGCCACACATAGTGTTCCAGGTGCTGACACAGTACAGCTTTGCAAAATAGGACGCTGTATCTTGTTCTGCTTTCAATGCCTCCCTTAAGGTTCAAATTCCCACAGCCCAAGCCAGTAAGGCTGGAGCACAGAAAGGAGAGTGTGGGGAGAATACCAGTGCCACTCGTGATTTACAGTGTATCATACCTTCTCCCACTCACCATCTGCTCCAGGTCTCACAAGGGTCTTCCTGAGTTGGCAAGGCAGCTTTAAACTTTATGTGCTCTCATTTGAGGGATAAGGAATTTGAAGCTCAGAGACATTAAGTGACTTACCCAGGGTTACCCAGCCACTAAGTGAAAAACCAGCATTAAACCTAGATCATTTTGATCCCTTGTCCAAAGGCTCCCTCTGTGCACTAGGCTGTGTCAATTAGATACCTAGAGAGGTGGCCTTACTCATGGAGATAGAACCTCCGGAGGGGAATATCTCTTACTATCGAACAGATGCTCACTGCCCTCCTTGAGCAGGCAGCTGATGTTGAGTGGGATGAAGAGCTGAGCTCGAAGTGGATCACCATACAGGTAACTGGGCAGCGCAAAGGGACCCTCCAAAACGGGGACCAACAGAAAGCCACAGGAAGTAGCTTTTCGATGCCAGCCTTGGACCTGGTGGGAAGCACAGAAACAGTGTCATCTCCAAGTTAATTCAGACAAGAGAAAATACTTCCCGAGGAGCGAAGCCACCACAGTGGCGGCATACATATTGATTGGCATGTTCATTTATTAATGTTCACTGGATCCAAACCAATCCTGGTCAGGAAAATGCACAGTTTAACCTCCTGACAAATACCTGAAAAACTGTGAGTTAAGCACACAGCTCGTCCTCACAGCTTTATGCAACTTCAGTGTTTCTTCTGGAAGGAAGAGACTGGAGAGAGCTATTTCTTGCCTCCAAAATCGCCTTCTCATTCTACAGGATGTTGTAGGAAGGTCACAGGATATAAGTTAAGTCCTTCTAATTATGTCCTTTATCAAAAATTTACTAAGTCCAAAGTATCAAATAGGAAAACAATCCACTCAAGCTGGCTGAAAGGGACATGACGCAGGGTGCGAGATGACTGTGGTGGCCTCTGGCCAAAAGCGATAAGCCCTGACCTGGCGGAATGAGAGCCACTCTCCCACAAACTCCCAAAAGCTGTCTGTCCAAAGATTGACTGAGAACAAAAGTTAACTGCGGCAGCAAGACAAACCTCCCCATCAATAACATTTTCTCAGAGAAAAGTGGCAATTTTCTACATTTTAAGATATTTTTTTAATCATAAAACTGTGTATATTTTAAAAAAAAAGTTGGTGCACATGGCTCTGGCATACAGAAGAGATTTGTGTTAAATGTTATTTCAAAAAAATCTAGTTTGAGCCATAACTTGATTTAAACAAATATGAGTATGTCAAAAATTGAAGGGGACCACTCTTAGCTGTTTTCCCAGAAACACCTGTAACAACAACGATATATCAACAACAAAAACCAAGATCTCTGTTCAACCAAAATAATTCTTTTTAAGATTTTATTAAAAAAAATTTTTTTTTAAGTTTATTTTGAGAGAGAACACAAGTGGAGAGGGGGCAGAGAGAGAGAGGGAGACAGAGGATCCAAAGTGAGCTCTGTGCTGACAATAGAGAGCCTGATGTGGGGCTCAAACTCACTAACCGTGAGATCATGACCTGAACTAAAGTCAGACACTTAACACTAAGGCTCTTTTTATTTTATGTAATATTTTTAAATGTCATATTTTATATTATAAATATGCATTATAATATTATAAATATTATATAATATAAATACGTGCATAATATGTACCCTAATAAAATGTGATTTATAACAAATTTGGACACTACCTTAAAATAATAATTAATCTACAGTGCGCCTGGGTGGCTAAGTCAGTTAAGCATCCGACTTCAGCTCAAGTCATGATTTCACAGTTCATGGGTTCGAGCCCCGCGTCCGGTTCTGTGCTGACAGCTCAGAGCTTGGAGCCTGCTTCAGATTCTGTGTCTCCCTCTCTCTCTGCCCCTCCCCTACTCATGTTCTCTGTGTCAAAAATAAATTAAAAAACATTAAAAAAAATTTTTTTTTAATAATAATTAATCTACACTAGAGATTTCTAAAAACCTAACAACCTAACAAAATATAGTTGACTCTTGAACAGCATGGGGTTAGGGATGCCACCACCCCATGCAGTAAAAAATCTGAATATAACTTTTGGCTCCTGAAAAACTTATGCTTACAATAAAGTTAGAAAAAAGAAAACATTATTAAGAAAATCATAAGAGAAAATACATTTATAGTCCTGTCCTGTACTTCTAAAAAAAAAAAAATCCACATATAAGTGGATCCATGCAGTTCAAACCTGTGTTGTTCAAGGTTCAAAACTGTAATGATAAAGGGATTAGCAGCTTTCCGTGGGTTTTACATGAATTGGTGTGAAAAGTGTATTTTGAAAAGACTGTTGCCATATTCCCCTGAGGAGATAAATACTCTTCTTTCTGCCAAACTGTGACTATATGTGCATGTCCATGAATGTTATGGTCATGTTCTGAGATAGGACTATTAGTGGGGCTTCCAAGGAGAATGCTTAGCCTATTGGGTCAGAGGGTTAGTTCTGCCTGGAGGGAGTGGTCATCTCAGTGTTGACTGGCTGGGGAAGTGCCAGTGACTTCTATAAGCTGAACCAGACAGGTGGCTTGGTGTCTTTTTTGATTTGGACCTTAAGTATGTTCCAGTGTTCCAGGGGAGGGGTCCTCAGGGGCACTAAGGCCATGTGCAGGCAGACTGGGGCTGGACAGACAGAGACCCAGACAAATCTCTTCCCCAGGATATCATGTCTTGTGGGACAAAACTAGGCCTCTGAGCCCTGGACAGAAAAACTACATGCTGGCAGCTGATGTTGTGCTCACTCTCTTTGGTCATCTCCTAGCTTTCCATAAAGTCTTTCTGAACTTTCTGGCTGCTCTCAGCTCCGTGATGAGATGTTTGAGCCAGTGTGGGAGGAGAGCGGGACCCTGTTAAAGCTTGAGAAAAACATTCCTTTGGATTGAAGGGGAGAGTGTATAAAATGAGTGGCAGACTGCAAAGATGGTTAAAGAGAGCACCTGGAAGATACTGACAGCTTGGCTACGGAGTATCTGTTCCACAGGTGCTGGGACTGAGGGTGGGGAGTGGCCTGAGTGTGGGCAATGAGTGACCTGATTAGACAGGCCAGGGAAGACTGGAGGAGGAAAGACAGGCAGAAGACCAATTAAAAGAGGGCTTCTGAGCTCTGGCACTCATGACATCTGGGCTGGTTAATTCTTTGCCCTAGAGACTGTCCTGTGAGATGCATTGTAGGATGATGCACAATATCCTTGGCCTGTACCCACTAGATGCCAGTGCGTGCACTCTTCTACCATTTCTGCCAAGTAAAACTGTTTCCAGATATTACCAAATGCTCCCACAGGGGCAAAACTGCACATTCCCCCAACCCCTGTTGAGAGGTAGGGTTAAAAGCAGTCATGTTCATTGATAGGGACTGGTTAAGTAAATGATGATACAAACAATGAGGCAAAACAAAAACAAAAACAAAAACACAACAACGAGGCAGACTTATTTTTGCTGATACTGAGGATATATAATAGGACAAAACAAAATGCAACACTAGTTGCACTTGAACCTTGAACAACACTAGTTTGAAATGCTTGGGTCCACTTATATATGAGTTTTTGTTTTTGTTTTTGTTTTTGTTTTTTAATAAATATGGAAGAGTACTATAAAGGTATTATCTCTTCCCTGTGACTTCCTTAAAAAATGGAAATCTTACTTTATTGTAAGAACACAGTATGTAATACATATATATAGCATACAAAATATGTGTGACTTGACTGTTTAAGTTATCATTAAGGCTTCAGTTTAACAATAGGGTATTAGTAGTTAAGTTTTTGGGAAGTCAAAAGCTAGACTTGAATTTTTTACTGCATGGAAGGTCGGCATCCCCAGACCCTCCATTGTTCAAGTGTCAACTAAGTATGTAGTCCAAGCTACCATATGTTAAAAAAAAAA